TTTTTTTTTTTTTAATTTGTATCTTCACCACCTAGTAAAGTGTTTGTCACATGATAATGGTCAATAACTGTTCACTGAATAATGAATGAATTATATTTGTACAAAGATAATAATATGGTTTACATTTTTATGGTACTCTATATTTTATAAATTCAATCAGCATATTTATCTCTTTATGTTTTTGGAAAAATCCTGTAAAGTGAATGTTATCTTTATCTTGAAATTGAGGAAACTGAAGTTAGAAACGTGATTTACTCTATGATATTTAGCTAGATTGTGCCATTGTCTTGATTTGAACCTATTTTCTGGTGCTTTTTCCACTTGCCCTCAAGATGGTGATGATGGAGTTTTGGAACAAAGTTTTTAGCAATACATTATATCTTCGATTCTTTCTGAAAAGAAGGCGGGGCATTAATGGATTAAGTGGGTGCCACGAAATGAAGAAGTACTAGAAGAGATGATTGTAAGGGTTTTCTCAAAGACTTTATCAGCTACACAATTGCTTTAGGCTTTAAAATTACAGCTTGATTTTCTAATTTGTGTGGAATACCCAGTCCTGGTATGGCATTGTGGGTTAATGCACTGGACTGCAAGGTTGATTTGAACTGCAAGGTTGGTAGTTCCAGCTCACCAGCCACTTCTCGGAAACCCTTTACAGGGTCACTATGGATTGGATTCAACTCAAAAGCACTTAACAACAACCTGAATATGTCATCAAAATACTCATTTCTGAAATTTATTCAACACAACTTTGAGTTATCATATTAAGCCTTATTTTCTCTGAGTGAAATGTCTACTTTTGAGAGTAGTGATACCTACAGTTGAAAATGCTCAAAGAACACCTCATGGGTAAGTTTTAAGAAAGGGCATTATTCTATTCTGTAATAATGGAAAAGGTGCACCTTTTCAGCACCACAATTATTGTGGAATAGTGTAAGCCCTGGGCGTCCTTAATAGAGAGAGAAGACAGGAATTGATGATTCCTTTAATTTTCTAAGGGTCTCTGTTGACACACTAAATAGTTCTCAGTTGGTTTTTATTACCACAATTGCTCAATTTAATTGAGCAAGTAGTTCACATTAAATACTGTGTTAGGCAAGGGGATATGATGCAGAGAAGAGGGGAGGTTGCTCAACTGGGTGAGATGGTAATGGTAAAAATAAAAAAATAATCTGACATATTAACTTTTGTTGTTAAGTGCTGTCGAGTCAGTTCTGGCTCTTAGTGACCCCATATAGGGTTTCTGAGGAGCTGCTAGTGAATTTCAATTGCTAACCTTGTGATTAGCAGGCCAGTGCTTATCCTACAGTACCATACCAGGACTCCTTGTTAATTTTTACTTATATATTATTAATTCATTAAATAATTTTTGTTTGTAAAAAGTAAAGTAATAAAGCCACCACCTATTGAGAATCTACAGTGCCCCAATGTCTAATGCTTTTAAATAGGACATCTACCACTATCCATGCCAATTCAATATAAGGCAACTAAAGCTCGAAAGGATTTGTAGTAAGTAGAAGAGCCAAGATGCCAAACCAGGTCTGTCAGTCCAAAGGGTGTAGTCTTTCTGGATTGCCACAGATGGTGAGTTCAGGTGGACTGGACTGGTCACCATGGACCTTTATTCATTTCTCTCCAGTGCAACGTTGGAGGTCAAGGTTACTGATGACCTTCCACAGTGCCAAATCCAACGGTCACTTCTCTGTTTATATCAATCTCACAGCAACATTTGGTTCAGCTGACTATTCTCTTGCTCTTGAAATACTGTTTTCTTTGGTTTCCTCAACAATAACATTCATCTGGTTTTCCTCCTCAATGGTTGCTCCCTCTCAGTGTTCTTTACTGACTTCTTCTGTGCTCAGTCTGTTAACATTGAGTGCCCCAGACTTAACCTTAAGTAGTCCTCTTTTTCTCCTTAGATGATTTCTTTGATGCAGGACTAATGCAATCATAAATATCCAGGTTTTGAAATTTAGCTTCTTCTTTTCTATGCTGTCAACATCCATCTATTTGTCTCAATACTATCAGTCTTGTTTGATTCTCTTTTTTCTTTTTACCACCTGCATCCAATATATTAACAAGTCCATTTGGTTCTGCTACCAAAATTGATTCCAAATCTATGTACAACACTTTGTCTTCACAGCTTGGTTCAAGTCACCATCATTTCTCATTTGATTTAAAACAGGAAACTTATCATTGCTTATCAAACATCTCCTGCTTCCATATTATCTCCTATGATAAATTCTACATAAAGCGATCTTTTTATTAAAGGACAAATATTATGTGAGAACACTACTATAAAAGAGTCCTGGTATAGCACTGTGGGTTAATGTGCTGGACTGCAAAGTCCGTTTGAACCACAAGGTTGGAAGTTCAAGCTCACTAGCTGCTCCTTGGAAACCCTATACAGGGTCATTAGGGGTCCAAACCAACTTGATGGAACTTAACAACAACAACTATTATAAAAAGTTAAGAAAAATGTTTTCATACAAAAAGAAATATTCCTTGATGGTTACTGGGGTAGGAGACAAGTGGGAGAGTAAAGGAAGACACATATTAAGTTGAGTGAAGAGGAAGGCAATATATAA